GCATCAGGCGCCGCTAATGCGACTTCAGATGGAGCATAATTACAGACCCAGTCTGAACTCAGCTGCGCAGCATTGCCTTAGATACCATTCCTTAGATCGAATTTATATAACGGACTTACTTATATAGCGGTTGCCAGAATTGAAAATGTAAAATGACCCGAGTAATAACCTATCTACTTATATATACCTACTTTACAGAATATGGAATTTCTAATATACCTAATACCTATAAAGTGTCTCACTACAGGCTTATCTTCACTTTTTAGATTTTTTTGTTTGTTATTGGTAGGTACGAATGTAAAAAACATGAACATCTGCTGAATATCTTTCATTTGCGGTTTATTCTAAGTATATACGAATATATTATTTAAAACGAAATTAGGGTACGTAGGTATACCTACGAAGCGTATCAAAATAAAATTGGCGTTTATTACATATAATTTTATAATTGCAACAAGCTAATTAAAACTCTTCTATAAAGAAAACGTTTGGAGTTAGTTATAAGGTGCGCACTACCCAAAGGACAGCCATTTGAGCTTTTTTATAGGGAAGAATTTTTGCGCTAAATCTAAGAATTTATTTTCATGTCACTATAAATAAATAAACCGGGCCAAATTTACAGGGGTTCGTATAAATCGGGGGTAGTAAAAATTAACTACCTAATCCATACCTATATAATTATCTTAATAATAATAATCACTTTATATTTACCCATATAGAATATAACTGCAATTTAAAAAAGACAACTAACGCATGCAACATATTCTGAATAAATAAATATACCTACCTATCCTAATTGTTTAATATAATTACCTATTGAACAAAAATAAGAAAGAACAAATAGGCATGCAAAGAAAAAACTCACAGAAAGATAAATTAAACTTGTTGTATCCACTTATAGAGTCTACAGGGTCTTTTTTGGGAACTGTAGTTTAACGTTTTTGTCGGAAAATGAAATAGGTAGGTTTTGAAAATTTTTACCTAGGAGTAACGCCGAAGGCCGAATCGATGTAAAATATTTTCAAAATGGTAGCACTTCCCGAAATACCGAAAGTAGATAGTAAACTTCGTTATTTTAAATGACAAGCCTCTATTTTTTCATGTATTTTTGGATTCTACGCGAAATTTCAGGTACCTTGAAAATTGATTACCTACCTACTTCGGTTGTAGTTATGGCAACCCATTTTTACCAGTATGTACATAGAGAAAGAATAGGATTTTTTAGTGTAGATATATATACTTAAAAAAAGTCATAGTTGCGTGCGATTATGCGTGGAGATCCAAATTTAACAAATTTCAAAGACTAAAAACTCAATTTTTTAAATGAAATGACCCTTTTCTTTACTATTGCATTTGATAGAGAATTAAAATTGACATGTGCCTATATGTAGGTATATCTTTAACAGTTTCTGATTTATTTCCATTTCGTTGAATTGATACCATTTTTTCGGATTTTCTTTTTAGTATCGGCCATGCCATGACAATCGAAATTTAAATAAATCAAGGAAAGGATTTTTTTATCATTGATTCTTATCTAAATAATTAACTAATAAAAAAGGCAACAAAGGGAATTGAAAAACACAAACTTATAGGTATACAGTGTGTAAAGCGATGGAGTAAGTAGGTATACAAGAGGGAATTTTTTTTAAATATTGATTTATGAAAAAAATGTATTCTTCATAATATTTTTTGCTTGCTTCGAAAGTACCAATAACGTTTCGATTGTTTGTGGTTTGATAGCAATACGCTATAGCGCTTTAGCCAAAATACTTCAAATAGGTAACCAATATTTTTCCATTATTTTCATTTCGATTTAGTTATATCCATAGACCATGAAAATGATACAAATATACATAATGGTATTTAAAACAATAAGTAGGTACACACTTATTATAGTAGGTTGTTAACAAAACAAGAATAACATGTGAAATTGAGTAAGTACATAGGTATAAAAACATATAAAAATCACTTAACTTAATAATTACAATATATTATACCTCTGTTAAAGAAGGTGTTCAAAAACGTTTCCATTTTTTCAGTAGGTATAGGGCGCGTAAAAAGAATATTTTTTACGAAACGGCAAGCATTAGGTATAGGTAATAAACGTCAAAGTTAGCTGTCAAATACGTATACAACAAACCAAGGCCATTTTACCATTTTCATGGATAGGTAACTAGATCGAAATGAAAATAATTGAAAAATATTTGAAATTTTCCGGCGATGGTTCATTAAGAACTTTTTAATAAGCTGTCATACGATGTCGCATAATATACCTAGGAGGTGTTCCATATAAAAAAGTTAAATTTTTGTCATTACCTGATGGACAGTGCGATGTTGTTTTGTTTTTTAATTACAAGTTTGGATTCAGTAGACAAAAATAGGTACACAATTTGGTGAATTTAACCGTCTTTCTAACTCTAATAGATACAACTAAGAAAGTTAGCAATATAGTGCCGACTTAATTTAAAACAGACTGTATATATGGCCTACTTTAATTTAGGAAAATTGTTGTAATTTGTCAGTTATGAAATAATTTTTTTTTAATTGCAGAACGCACGCTTTATAAATAGCAATATCGATAGCAAACTATGCATATTTTTGACAAAAAAAGAGTGTTCCGACTTTTGAGTAAGGCACATCCCTATCTAATCTATCATAGGACTATTTACAAAAAAGCTCATTTTTATATCGTGTACAGAATATACCCATACACTCTATCCGTGTATATAGGTATAGTATAGGATTATCTCAGTAAAAACATCCACCCCCTAAATTTCGCCAGTCCAAGTGTTTCATTTTAACTATAGTACATCAACTCTGGCATGTGTATATGAATCAGTAAGTAGGTACCTACTATGCGATCAAAAAAGAGTTGCTGTCGAGTTACCTTTGGAATTTTCGTTTACATGGAAAATCATACAATGCGATCAAATATGAGTTGCTGTCGAGTCACCTTTGGAATTTTTGTTTACATGGGAATTCGTATTTAACTTGAATTTCCAAAGGCGACTAGACAGCAACTCATTTTTGATCGCCCGTTATTTAACATGAATTTCCAAAGGCGACCGATCCTACGTCAATCCTTTTTTGACAGCCCGTTATTTTTATTCCTTTAAGAAGCTTTCAGAAGCGACGGGAATAAACGAATGGATGATGCCCAGTAAGATACTAATGTCTAGGTATAGTAATGTATATCTATACGTAAATAAACATGCATGTTTGAGTGGTTAGACGGATTAGGTATAGGTACTCTTAGGTATATATACATATACATTATAACTACTTATCTACCTATATGTAGGTATACCGGGTGATCAGAAATGATTGCGGGGGTAGTTTAAATTTCCCGCAAAACAAAACATTTATAAGGTTGCGGTATAACATGCCAAATGTCATTTATTTAAAAGCAGTAGGTGTAGTGGATCAATTAAATGAGTTACTGAATAATCACCACAATTAATTAATTAAATTAATTTTTACTTTGCCCGTGGGGAATTCGTGCTATGATTACCTAAACGACCACCGTAAAACTGTATTCAGTTGCCCATTGTGCGATACTTTTGACTATCAACATATAGGTATATCCTGATAAATGAACACCCGTCACTCATAAAAGATTTCCGACTTCGCGTTGCGTCTACTTTATTGTCATCGTAATGTATAGTTGTTGGACAGTTAAAACTACCTATAGGTATTATATGTAAACGTTCCCATACCTATATAAGTATATCTTCGTGCAAACTGTTATACCCCGTATCTGCATAAGCCTGATGTATAATAATAACAACTATTATTAAGGGGTGTTATCGTTCGTATTGTTTCACCCACTAGCTTGATTAGATTTCTTGTGGCTATATCTTCGACAACTTCCGAAGGTTTGGCAACTAATTAACATATGATTGGTAGGATATTCTTACATTACATTACTGAAAGCATGGAACCGAATCTTCATGAACGTGTTGTACGACGATAGTCATTTTCTTATGGGCTTAAACAGTAAGGTTAAGTGCACCTTATGCAGTTATTATACATGACTTTACAAAATGTTGCCACTTGCAAGGAACTTGGAAAAGAACTGTTTGATTTAAAATGCAAGGATCGCGGTATAAAGAGACAAGAAAATAAAAATACACATCGTCGTAAATGGATGGCGATTACTGTTGGGGGAATACAATGATGGCCAACATTAAAAATTTTAAGTGCCAAATTCAAATTGTCTGCAGTCATTTTGGATCATCTTATGTAACGTAGGCACGTTTACATTAGAACTGCATTGCTGATGAAAATTTTAAACTTTCCTTAAAAGTTTCTATTAGGTATACTTAGGCATGTTGTATATTCTTATCATAAGAATTTTTAGTCACTTCCTTACATTGAAATTTTAGGTAGGTATACCTACATCTCAGCATTTAGGTATATCTTGACTAATAAAGACATACCTTTACAGAGAAACAAATTCAAATTGATAATAGTAGGTAAGTAGGTATGTATTATAAATTATAGGATAGCTATACGGTACCTATGGAAGCTTTTGATTATTGTATCGATAAGTCATTACTAAATGCACGTGTATAGGTAGGTAGGTACATACGGAGTAAGTAGAAAATAATATGGTTTACTGAAAACTACCTGCCAACCTACATGAGTAGGTACTTATCTAAGTATTATCAATACACTATCAAACTGCTTGTTTTGAATAAAATAGATAACGAGTAACTTTTGTTAGCAATCATTTGTTTGAAGTAGGGCTCGAGTGTAGAGAGTGAAGGGTGTGAAAATAAGTTGCCCTTCTATAAGATGCACATAGGGTTGAAATGCGCTTGCGTGCTTAAAGGATGGTGGAAGATAAAATCTGGGGCGTTTCGTGGTAATCAATGGCAAGAACGAGGATTGGTTCTGAAATTCTCGGTACGCCTATGAAACTGATAGAAGAGGGTAGGGGAACATATGATTTCATCTAATCCCAATTTCCCCTACCGAAGAACAGTCAGTAAACGGAATTCATGTATAGTGGATATAAAACCTATGTGTTTAAGTGTTTCTATTTTTTATTAGGCCTAATGTGTTTATTATCTTTTAAATTTGTGAAATACTTTTTTAATTAAAATGTTAACCGACATGACCGCCGCCGCTGGACAATTTTACGGTTCACAAATTCCTGCCATAACTATGAATGTTAAAGCCGGTGTTGGACTTACAGTAAGTAAGAATCGTCGCTTTTATTTTACTCATCATGTATAGGTATAATTTTATCTCAAAACGGGCCACAATTTTCGTAGATATATCTACAATTCACCCCTCTCGTACTTAGGCAGTATCACAGTAATTACATGAGACCTACAGGTAACGCCCGTCGCTCAAAATCTTAAGGTGACCTATCTAATGGTATCATATAGAAAGAAATTTGAAACGAGGGACGTTACTATTAAATATCATAAACCCATGGAATATTAAAAGTTCTGATGGTGCTTTTTACCTGTAATAGGAGAGGGTAATACCGCAAACGTTACTCTAGTCTTTGTCAAAAAAATATTAGGCGCTTACACCTATAATTTAAATAATAAAGTACAGCATAAGCGATAATTGAACCTAACAAAATGAGTCCCGCAGCGTTAAATCCGTCGACAAAAGCCTCGACAATTCATGATGTATAGAGCTTGCTCTTTTTGTCATCCCGTCATCCGTGTATAAAATTATAGCGGAAAATCCTCTTAATCCTTGTATATCCGATGGATTGTAGTAAAACACGGCGTCAATTTTTAGTATTTACTGCCCTAATAAAGTTCCTGACGCGGGGTGGGTATAAGCATATATCATATATTATATTTATTGAGATTTAAATTTGTAGAGAGTATAGTGCCTTGAGGTTTTTAGCGATTCATTAATTTTAATTGAAACGCGCTGCTTCCTTTCTCGATACGCCTAATTATGTTCCCGGTATAAGATATATGGTAGGTGGGTAGGTATAGTACGCGAACCTTTTTCACTCCCGAGCTGTTCTACAACATCTATAGATCAATGGAAAAAATGGGCCTTTTGAATATAAAATTTTATTCATTTTACTATTTTTATCTCACGGGGTTATGACCCATCGCATAAGCTGTTGTTAGTTAAGGTTCCACTGCAAGGTTTTTAAGGGAGCAGTTATCTTACGATATTTAGGCGACGAATTTTGCTAATACTGAGCCAAAATTGGAACCCTGTGGTACTCCAGCCATAAATTGTTCAATTGTATATTACCTATAATATAATTAGGTATAGACGTGTCTTTTGCATGTTTCAGCAGTACACTGAAATCGGTTACTAATAATAATAATATGGCACTTTAAATTGGTGATAAGAATTACGTTAATAATTTTTCCTGCCATGACTGGTCAATTAAAGAACCAATCCACCGTTGTTGTCATGACATTTGCATTTTATTTATGTTTTTTCATTTTGATGAACAACTTTGATAGTTGATGCACTGAAATATGTTACCAACGTGCCATAGGTATACCTAATACTGTATCTAGTATCAATTTATATATAGTAAAGAAGCAACATTTGTAAATTAATAATTATGTGAATGCATGATGTTGATGACATACCTAGGTACCACATTGTATAATTAGGTCCATAAATAAATGATCGACACGTAGCTAGTACCTATATATACCAACTTCATACATTTTTTGTTTACGCGGGGAAATTCAAACGATCGTTATAGTTCTAAAAATCGCCCGGTATAAAGAATAATAACTGATGGTTGATAGTGGTGAAATAGGCACTTTAGAATAATCGAGAGTGACGTAATCGCAATTGTCACTTGAGGTGTTTATCATTGACAACATCGAGCATTTGTATACCTACCTACTATTTAGGTATAGGTATACCAGACATCACGGATGTAAATAAAAGTACCAATATGGCTATATACCTATACTGTAGGTTTAGGTACATCAGATTTGTGCTACAATATTGCCATTATAGGTACTATAAAAAATGGAAATTTCAAGTAAATGCCTATGACAATTGTTTCATGTGTAGGTAGGTACCTACTAAGAGAAATTTTATATACATGTTCAGTCTAGAATTTGAATCGCATTATGTGTATGTATTAATCCCGAACAAAGTTTAAATGCGATCATAGGTATATGATTATAATACCTACCTAATAATGATTTGAATTTATTATAAAATATATATTGGAATATAATCACAATAAAACTTTCAGAAAACGTTTTTGAAAAAAATCCTCGAACATGTCAATTTTGATTTTTAATGAGACATACCTATTTTACTGTATAAGAAATTGGTGCCGTTTCCAGGATCGTGTTTTGTTTTGGAGATATAGCGTATCTACGCGATAATTTTTTGCTGAATTTGGAAAACTCTGTGACCAAATACCTATGCTAATAAGGTATCATAGGTATACTGTATTTCGAAATATTCGAGATAATTGCTTTGCTTGTAAATTCGCTCTTTTTCAGTCAAAGTCAAATATCGCACCACTTAATTACGTATAAAAACCACACAATAAAAACAGCTGATAAACAAGCTGATGAGAACTGTCGTCATTTTAACGGCAATTGTTACATGGCCACTTGATTTTTTCTTGATTCTTATTAGACGTTTGGTTTTAAAATTTTAAACGCACTTATCTCTCGAATATTCTAAAATACAATATCATACACCTACTTTTAGCATAGGTACCTATTTGGTCTTAGAATTTTTTGCTCTTTTCAAATTCAACATAAAGCATGGAAAGATAGGTAGGAAGTTACTTAAAGCTACATTTTTATACGTAGAAATTAGAGCAATAGTTTCATAGGTACAACAGTACTTATTTGAGAAATACCGGTTCAAATTCGGGGCCCATCAGTGGGATCTCCGTAATCGCGAGAGATACAGTGTATACCTAGGTGAAGTGGGGCGATTTGAAATTTTTGAAAAATCTTTGAAAATAACTGAGATCACCGAAAAACTGAAAATGTCAAATTTATAGTTTCCATTTTCCGTATTTTAAACGGTCGAAAATCGACGGTTCCCTCGTGAGCACTTTTTTTCGGAGAATTTGAATCTGTTATAGAATTTCCATAACACGCTAGATGTAGAAGGTATACAGGCTTTATACTTTCTTATTTCTTATGGACACCATATTGGATTTTTACGGAATGAGATAGAGGCAAAAAAATAGTGACGTGTCACACTGTACATAAATTTACAAAAAAAATTGAAAATCAGAAATTTTACATTCGCATTTCTCAAAACATATACCCGCGGGTAAATAGATCTTGCTGAATCAACATGCTATATGATAACGATGCATTCAAATAAATTTCTTTTTGGTCCTCTATCTCATTCCATAAAAATCCAACATGAGCGTCCACAAGAAATAAGAAATCTAGAGTGTTATCGAAACTTTGATAACCAAACTCCGATTCAACGAAATAAAAGTGCCCATAGAAGATGTGTCCATTTCCGACCGTTTCAGCTAGGGCAAATGAAAACAAAATTTGACATTTTCACGTTTTTCAGTGATTTAACCTAATAGGTACACTGTACATCTCACCGTTACAGAGATCCCAACGGTGAGCCACGAATTTCAACCATCCCTGTATAATACAAAGGTTTTTTCATTTTCATTTGTTCTCATGGCACACTATACCTCATTTATTATATACCTACATACGTATCTAAAATTCATTTTTGGTCAAATGTCTCCATAATTTTAAAGATTTCTGTACATAGGTATTAACTCCTATTTCGTTGGTAAGAACGAAAAATACGCTATTTAGCAACGGTGATGTAAACATTGTTTGTCCATTAAGAAAACGTGCCATTTTTTAAAGGATAGCGCGTGATTTTGGAAATTATTATCTCTTGTAGATGATTTCCACGTAAGAATGAACAAAACTGGCTTTTTTTGCAATTTTTTATATTTCTCATAATAATAATACAATGGAACTATAGTTATTCGGCTCTTGAAGAAAAAAGTCGATTTCGTGGACTATCCAAACAAAACAATAGCATGATTCAATTCTCCTTCGAATTTATAGACACATTTTCTCTCTTTTAACCGACATTGTATAACTACGACAAATAAATCACCATGTACCGACTGTTTTTCTACATAGCGGCGGCCGATTTGAACTTTCTTTTGGATACTCCAACGACTCACTCAAAACGAACTTTTGAAACAACAATTTCTGCCCTTTATCTTTACACCTTTAGTATTACATATCTTTTAAATTGAACTCTTTCTCTCTATATTCCGCGTATTCATCAAATACATTCAAGCTGAGAGAAACAACTATACTTTCGTCTCTAAAAAGGGTGAAGAAAATGTGATTTGCCTCTCTAATGCGGAAAGTAAAAAACAATTGCTAGCTTAACAATGACATTTAAAATTAAAACATACCGCTATCTAGATTGCTATGTGTCAAACTTTATCATTGCATACGATAATTTTTCAATTGTGATTGTAGTTTCAGAAAACATTACCTATATGTGTAAAACTTGTTCAGTTGATAAACTTACTACGCCTACGTGTCAAACTTTGAACTCGAGTTAAAAAACTCCACTTCCTTACTCTAGTTGTATAAGTAACTATTTCATAAAATTCTTGACAAAAGATCTGCTCCGATTAGGTAATACAAATATAGGTCCAAATTACATAACATTTTATATAGGTACAGAACCATCAGCTCATGTACCTACAATCTTCAAGTTAAACATGAGACACTTGGGATAAATCACGCATAAGTAATCATGTACTTACAGAATTATCGCGTAGAATATTCGTCTATGTTTTAAGAAAAATGTGATTAGTTCGAATGTTAAAAACAAATAGCCATTCCTTTAGTAATTATTGGATAATTTTGCTTGAGGATAAACATTATCTAAATTTGTGGATATAACAAGCAACTGCACGCAACTAATACCTAGTTAATTGCATCAAGGACAAGCAAACATTTAGAAGTGTATATAGCTATACCTAATATGTGTAGGTAGATATATGTTTTTCTTTTTTCACTTTTTTATTAAGTTTACCACGCACATTATATTGTGCCTACGTACTTCAAGACAACGCTACAAAAGTCACAAACTTGTTGAAACGAACCAGATTCCATCCTCTACATTTCTAGATAATTGCGAATGCGGGCGGAAGAAAATACCTATACAAAACGAAGTTGAAAATCGTACTTTCTGTCTGC